AGTGATGTGTTACCCATTTCTGTTTCTATTTCGTTAAAATGCATCTCTTCTCGTCTTTGCAGTTACAAAGGATGAGTGTCAGAAATATCCTTCGCATTGCAGTAAGTAAATTAAGGCAAATAGTCAATTCTTATTGCTCAATCCTTATTCATTTATTTATTCATCTGTATTCAACTTCATATATTTGTCTATTTATTTAGCCCATCCCAAATAATAATAATTATTATATTAACAATAATAATAAAAATAATATAGTATACTTCTTGAATGTTAAGTGTAATATTATTACATGCATTGTGTATTACTTATTTCAAATTTGGGCAGACAAAAAATGACTTATGGTACAGTGTTTGATCAAACAGTCCTACAAGACTACAAAATATGTTGCCATGTGCAACCGCACCATTCTGAATTATCACCTTACAAAATAAGAAGTCCAGACGACACTTCATTTCAGGTGCTCCAGACCCTTGTCTTGGTAAGATACTGACGTGTGAAAACTGGGGGACTCCGGACTATGACACGTGCACCTGTCGTTGTCACCCTAATTTCTACGGTGCAATGTGTGAGAAAGGTGAGTGTAGAGGCCCGTTCGTGTCGACAGATCGAGAGGTGGGAATTTAAAATCAGAGTTGGGTCGCAAAATATATTCATTTAAACTTCACCGTCATTGAAGCTTCACCGTCGAGTTACTGTCAGTACTGTCTGCTATCCACTACAGACCCTTCTGTAAGCTCTTACCAAATCGATTGAACCCTGTTTAAACAGCTAGAATAGAAGAGCGCATTGCCCGTAGCGTACCACTCTTTCATTTTAAGCTACATGTATCTGATTATGCTTAAGCTGAATCTTCTACATTCTGGATAAATTGGCATTAAAATTAACTTGTTCTTTTTATTTAGCAAAGTGCCATAATGCACTAACCTGCGAGAATGACGGGGACTTTGACCCCAGCACATGTACCTGTGCATGCTCCAACTACTTCACCGGAAGCCGTTGCGAAAAATGTACGACTTGTGTATTATGGTGTTGAGAAGATATTTGAATAATAATTAAAAAAAAATAGTCTTTATTATTTAGTTTTAAAAAAATCAAATGAATTATGAAATATTATATGAAATATTATATAAAATATATGAAATCAAATGTATTATGAAATAAATCTTTAACGTTTGCAGATTGTTAGCTAGTAACATTGTGTTTAAAACAAGTGAAATTATGTCTTTAGTTTACTTCAGACAACATTCAAAGAAAACACGTAAAATCACTTATAAATGTGAATATCTAATTTTTCAGACAACTGCCAAGCTATGGGCACCAGAGGTCGTGACAGCTACAGGTGCGCAAGAATGCCAAGACGAGCCTGTACCAAAGGGTGGCATATCCGCGGGGAGAAGGAAGAAATTCGCCTGAAATATTGTCCCAAAAAGTGTGGTCTTTGCTAATAATATATATTGAACGTGTTTTTTCTGTACTGACTTTAAAATATCAAAACGTTATTACACGTATAAGGAAAATGCTAACAAATAATATTGGCCTACTGTACATTTATGTATATTTTATGTAAGTAAGCTACTTATACGATGATAAATGACATATAATTAAAATTTCATTTTTTAATACGACGAAGAATGACATAATTTAAAATCTGATTTTTTAAAATAACTCGATCCTAAAACGCAATTACTACGGGTCTGTACAATTTGAAGCAAATCTTTGTTCGTACCACTAACTCTGATTTTGTGCCTTAATGTTTAGTAAGGATGAGGGACTCTATCATATAAATTACATCACGTCAATTTTAAACACAATGCCGCCATAAGGAACCATTTGATCATGATATTATTACTAAGCTAAAGTTGTCAAATGAGTACTGATCGAAGCTGGGATCTTTGGGATATGACCTTTGCTTTGTGGAATGCAAGCCGAAATATGATTACATGTTGCCAGTAATTTTTTTACTGATTAATTTCATATGTGAGTCTAGATCTTGTTGTTTTTGTTTTAAATCTAATTTTTAGCTTCCATTCTGTGCTGGCATACATATACAAGTGACACACCAACAACTGCATTTTTCAGTTGGCCACCCACTTCCGGTGTTGGCATGTTATAATTGGCATCTTGGAGTCAAACTCTGTATTTTGTTGGTGGACCAGCCATACGGCCATTTTTCACTTAAGTAGCTAGGCCAAATCGTGACCAAAACTACATGTACATGTTTAGATAGGATTTATCTTCGTCTGACCATATAGGCCTACCGTGAGAAAAGAACATTTGTCGCTATAACTATAGTATATAACACTACGGTATATATTTCATATCTTGATCATACTAGTATGCAGATTGTCTTGTGAATACTTGCATCATATTAAGGATCCAAGAACGACCGGCTCGGTACAACTCACTAGTATGGGTGCTTTGCTACCATTCACTCTCGCACTCCTTTTTATTAATATTGCCCCAGCACACGGGGGAACAGGCTGTTCGGAATTGCTCGTGTCCGGGAAACACCCGATACCGGATAGTTCTATAACGGCCTCCACGTCCTACCCCCATACTAATAGCGCCTGTTGCCTGAATCACTTCCCGCACAGGTCCCGTATCAATCTGGTCACGGACAAGAATGGGAACGGGGGTTGGAGCTCCTTGACTCAGGACGACAAACAGTGGCTGCAGTTTGATCTGGGGTTCTCCAGAAAGGTGAGCCAATTAGATGACACCCTTCTGCTCTCTCTGTCGTGTTTGTATGTGTGCCCATGTATTTCAAAACTAGTTTGTAGGCCTACAGGGTATTTATGCAATGTTAATTTGTGTATGTGAGTATAAGAAGTGGCCAATACGATCATTATATATGTTAAAGCAACGGCTGTATAAATGTGTGTTGCCCTAATATTTTATTGGAAAGAAACGGATCATATTTGATGTTTTTTATCCTTTAATAATTACAATATTGAATTGTTATTCATTACAGATAACAGGTGTGATAACCAAAGGTAGACAGGGGTATTCTAGCGCAGGTAAAGGACAATACGTCACGGCATACCGGCTGTACTACGGCAACGCAACAGATGATATGGCTATGTTTGTAGACAATGATTTCCAACCCGTGGTTTGTTATGCTATGTGATTCTATTTGTTGATAGTGTTACCTCATTTAAATACAGTGCCTGTTAAGAGCCTTTAGCAAGTTTATTTTCCAATTTACATGAAATCTAACTCTTGATATTCAAATATATCTATTAATAAGACAGGCGTGCTTCATCATATTAATGGAGGATATTTTAGTAAAAAAATATTAACAATGAAATTTTAGGGAACTTAACCTTAAACACCCATTTAATCATTTTTGTTACTTAATTACTTTTCCAGACAGTATTATACAACTTAAAATAAACTTCTAGATATTTGATGGTAACTGGGACACAGTGACACCACAAGTGCGTGACCTTGACCCTCCTATCTACGCCAGATATGTCCGTATTAACCCGGTCAAATGGAACTCTCACCCGTCCATGCGTGCTGACCTACTGGGATGTCCACTTACGAAGGACACGAACTCCATCATTGGGTAGTGCATGGACTCTATGATGTAAAACATAGCAATAAAGCATGCGGTGTTCGGTATGCATCATGCACAGAATCTGCCAACTGAAAGCATTTATTGATGTATGGCAAATAATGATATATGCCAATCAAATAAAAGATGTTTCTGCAACTCTGACGCTAATGATGTTTGCTTATATGCCATCAAAATGCAATAAATGTCTCATCAAGCGACTTGCAGTGTTTTATTTTAGTAAGCACCCTGTAAACATTGATATGTAGTAGCTGTCCATTAATGTGTTAAAACCAAGTGTGTAAATCACCATACTTGTAACGAATAAGATTCTTCACCTTATTGACAGCAATCAAACAGAGCTACTCGTCCAGGCATTTGTGACCTCAAGAATCGAATATTGCAACAGCCTCTTGTTCGGAATACCTAAATATCAAATGAAAAAAAAATTGCTGTCTATTCAGAATATAGCACCTTGTCTCCTCCGTAAAACTCACGAGTCCGACGTCATTACACCACTTCCACGTGATCTTCACTGGTTTCTCGTGTCTCAAAGAACAGTCTATAAGATATTATTCTTGATCTAAAAAATAAAAGGCGATTGTCCATTTTACATGAAGAATAAAATATAACTTTAAACACGTCTCATAACTCTCCGCTCCAGAGATCAATTTCAACTCAAGCGAAATGATACCAAAAATACTGTTAAGACAAATGGTCACAGGACTTTTGTGATTGCTGCACTGATTTTGTGGTCCAATTTTATTTATCAATGATATGTTTCTTTTAATGACTATTATTACTATTTAAAAAGAATCAAAAACCCTTTTATATAAAGGATATTTTGGTTTATTTTTTATCTTTTAGTTTTAATTACTTCTATGTTAGTTTTCAATTTATCTTCGTAGTTTTAACTTTAAAGTTTTAATATGTATTTACCTCTCGTAAACAGCACTGAGAAGCACGTGTAACGCAGTTTTATAAATGTATATTGTTATTTTATTTATTATAAACTATCTATTACTAGATACAATAACATAAGTAGATCGAGACTTGATCATCTATTTCATGTAATTTTATTTCTATGCTTATAATGATATACAATTATACAATAAATGCAATTAACCGGCAAGTGCCATATCAAAAGTACATGAACACAAAGTAATTTGACATATTTTGAAAACACACTTATAAAGAGAAACAGAAAACATTTTTTATGTCTACATATATACAACATCTAAAAACTACCAACGTCTTTCCGGATTGTATTGACAATAAGACACTCTTCGAATAAAATACACATTGCAGAAATTTGTACCAATCTTCTGAACGTTCAACACGATGTATACTTAGAAAGGCAAAGACAGAGGGTAAAACGTCCGCTCCTCCCCGAATCCCCTCACTTAAGTTAACTGAAATACTACACACACTGGACAAAAGAAGTGTCACCCCCTAACTCAGAGTAATAAAAGTAGGCAGATCTTGGGTACTTATAATGCCTGGTCTACTTATAATGTGACTAATGAGTATAAAACCGCTATACCATGGAATTGTATTGTTGGTCTTGTACATGTACATCAAATGTTATTCCTGTCTTCCTCCAATATGGCAAGATACAGGCAATTATCTAACAGTTATAGGTGCAAGTTATTAACCTGAAGAGGCGGAATATAAGCAATGTCAGAATATCGATACAATCGAATTGTTCAGTCAGAACCGTGCAGAGGGTCTGGTCTCGGTATAGAAACACTGGATCAAGAGAGAAATTGCCTCTGATGGGTCGTCCAAGAAAAAATACTGGCCGTGAAGACCGACGACTAATTTTGATGTCCAGGTTGTCAACGTTCGACACTGCTTGTCAGTTGACAACACAGTGGAACAATTTCACACATAAGAATGTGTCTGTGAAAATTGCT